ACACGACTGTCAACACGCAATCATCGAGAACGGTTCCTGGGGCAGCACACAAGGCTCTTTGGCTTCGAGAAGTTATTTTCAAAGTTATAGCTACTGTTTGAACAAAAATAGTGTATTTATTGATTTAAAAAAACATGTTTAGAACTATTAAGCTTTGGCAGTGTCGCATACCCAATTATTATTAGACTCATTGTTTACTCTGTACTTGAAAATAATCTTTTTGTGCCATTCTTCAGTTTTGTTTTTGTAATCAACAACCGCCGTCAAAACAATTCTGTCGGTGTCTTTTTGTAATATACTCGATTCTACATTGTTGATGGTGATTTGTTGACACACGGAGATAGATATGCCTGCAATGAAAGCAGCCACAAACATTAAACAAAACATCAAACAAAAACGTAGTTGTCGCTTAACCGCTAAAGCTTTTTTTCTGAAAATACTTATAGTATAGTTATAATTACCTCCAAAAGTGAATATAAGTATCCAGTTATCAAGAAACATTTCTTAACAATCTGCAAAATATATTAATGAGGATAATCAATCCAACACATAGTCCTACATGCTATTTGAGTTTTGGCATATTGCGCAGGTTAAAAAAGTTCAATGCCTTGTCAGTGAATTAGAAGTTTAATTCTCATTTAGTTCAGGTTAAATAATATTTAAATTAAGGCTCTACTTAAATTTAGATTTGGTTTTGTTCGTTTTTTCTTTCAGTTGAAATTGGTTAGTTTTGGATTTAGTTTATGTTTACTGTACCCACATTTTATGCTAATTTTATTATTATTTAATGTATGATTAGTTGATAATTTTTACGGTTAAGTATAGGCGAGAAATTTTTTTTTATTATATAAATATTTTACATTACTTGAAGAATAATAAAAATATATTTGAATATAAACTGTAAATAATAACTAATTTATTCGATTACCTTACATAGAGGCCTTGATGTTAATAACAACTGTACCCCTGCATACAACGCTTATCTCAGAATAACAGGGTTGGGTTGTTCTAGAGCTTTAATCTACGTAATGAAATCTTTTATTTCCTAAGCAGCGTTGGTAATTTTATCTGAAATTACCTATATCTAGATAATGCTATATAAAATACATTGCCCCCCAACCAATAGACTCCTAATGGTAATCCAGGAAGCAGTTAGAATTTTTCTGAGAAAAAAAATGCTATACAAACTGTCTGTTTGAATGCCAGCTTTATATATTGTGACTCTATGACATGAGATTAACTTCCTTGTAACTTTAAGTATAGAGCACTATACATTTACGGGTGCGCTTTTGAAATGTTATTGTTTAGAAATATCAATATGTTTATACTAAAATCATTAAACATATTATTAGTTGAATTTAATAACGATTGTATTTGTTGTCGCATGTACTATTGTATCTTATTTATATATGTTTATTTAAAACTTAGTCGATTTTCTTTTTGAAAATTTACACCAGCAACATCACTAGCTGATTACAAACACGCGGTTTGACACAAAATTATTACCACGAGGGACATACGTAGACACACTAACCACGCTCTAGCGAACACACATTTAAATAGGATGATCGATTTTAAAGTTAATTTAACACATTAAAATGATTAATATAATCTTTACTTACAGAAGCTCCGATTGGGACGAAAATGATGTTCTCTAATGGCATCAGTGCAGGGACAATAAAAAAAAAATATTTGGAACTTCGGTCCTCTTTCAATAATGTTTTTTTTTTTACAGTGGTGATGTTGTAAGGGCAATTATGTATTGCATGCTTTGGTAAGACTGGAGTAGTATATTACTTAAAGTGTTGTGTCTCTCACTTTTTGTATTAGCAAATATATATTTATAGACTAAGTAGCATGCCAATCTACCTTGTAAAAAATACTTAGAAAAATATATTCACGTCAATAATACCCCGTCAATTGCCTACAATTAAAACGGCCTTTCAAATACTCAAGGGTTTCTTGACTCATACATAAAATGGCTTGTTATACAAGTATAGATACATAAAAAAATGAAATCATGTTACAAAAACAAAATAATAAATAAACGGCTTGTCGAACGATCATTTCTTAGAACGAGAACCGTTTGGTAATTCAATGTAGATCACCGAAGCTTTGAAATAATAGCTCAATGGAACCAACGCTTGGCGGGTTGTTCGTATTACTTCTTACGTCGGCGAAACTTCCTGGTGTATGTTGATACATTGTTGCTGATATAAACAAGCCTGCCCACTACATTGTGTTAGGCAGGGGTCTCCAAACTACGGCCCGCGGGCCGGAATCGGCCCGCGAGGTCCTCTCATCCGGCCCTCGGAGATCTTTTGTTCCGCAGAAAAAAAATTGTTGGAGGTGGCTGAGGAAAAATTCAAAATAAATTGAAAATGAAGCATTGGGTGCAAATACCATTGAAGTTAATGTGGCCAGTTGCCAAGCAAATGACCTCCTTCAAATAAGGGCGGGTGGGTTTTATAAGTATTTGCCCAAGGAAGACTTTCCTAATATTAAAACTTTTGCCGCAAAGTACCTTTCAAATTTTGGAACAACATACAAACTTTATTCAGAAAGAAGTAGGCCTACGTGAAGAACAATTTAAGAACAAACTTGGACCTCAAGTATATTGTTCGTTCCCCGACAGTGTTTCTTTTTTTTCTCCGGTGGGGGGGGGCACTTGATTTGCATATATATATATATATATATATATATATATACATTTATATATATATATATATATATATATATATATATATATATATATATATATATATATATATATATATATATATATATAATTTCGTTGAGGGGGGGGGGGGGGTTCACCACCCCGAAGAGATGCCTGGAAGAAACTCTGGCCCCCGAACGTATATTTGATAGTTAATGCGGCCCTCGGGCTGAAAAGTTTGGAGACCCCTGTGTTATAGTAATGAAAACAAGAATGGTGCTGGTATATATGGCGCTGGTAATGCCAGCCCAGTACTTTCAGTCTATGTTTGTCCACTACAATCCAGCTCTGACTCCAATACACAAACGTTTTAACATGTGTGCATGTTAACATGATCGTGCATACTTAACATTCACATATTACCTCCCCGCTAACTTATTATACCCCTACTCAGGGTGATTCTTCGTAAACCTAACACCAGCCCCCGTCTCCGATGTTTCAAATAACAAAGAGTGGTAACTATTGAATTCTTTAAAAACAATAAAAGTGGGCTTCGCAGAAATGTTGCCTATAAGTTTAAAATAGCATTTTACAAAACGGGCACCCCCTACAAAGCAAGGAATCAGGAAGCTAACATACCGTATGTCCCTACAGACTAAATTTATAATCATTTATCTATATAAGCCAGGTGACAATAAAATTTGTGGGGTCGATATTTATACGTGCCAACCCCTCCCCCCCCCCCCCACATAGGTAAATGGTACGGTTGCCGGTCTTGCCGGTTACATACTATAGAACTTTAGTGTGCTATGTGTAGGCCTATTCCGGCTATTTATCGCATATAAACTATTAGAAAACTCGAAGTCATTATATATAGACATATATATATATATATATATATATATATATATATATATATATATATATATATATATATATTCCAGTTTACATATATCGTTTATTTAGTATTCATGTAAGAATTATGAAATCTACTTTTCTAGTTAAAATGATGCTCCTAAAAGGTAAAATAAAACGTTTATTCTTGTTTGTATTGATGTAAAATCTCTAACAATAGTTAATTAATGTGAACACATTTTAGAACATTCTTACATATCATTGAATTTCAAATGATGTTATTATTTGAGTGAGTATAATTTAAAAATAATATTTTCTAATACTTTTATAAAAACGGTTTCAACTTGCAACTTAGATTATTTGTGCTTTACTAATGGGGCGTGATCTTTAACGATATATATATATATTGTATTGTTTTTACAAAACATAAATGGTTAACTTTAATAATCGTACTTTTTTTGCTACACATTATTTTCTCATCTGTAGTTTTTCACGTAGTTGTTTTACAAAGAAAACTACTAGTGGTAAACTGCAACATTCGACATATACAATACTTCCTTGGCATGTTCATTTCTAGAAAACAATTACCTGCTTATATTTTTACTTAATATTTCTTAGACGAAAACGTGTTTAGTATTGTCAAGCTTTGTAAACTTGTTACGTCTCGTAGATCTTTATCTAAACTTTGTATTAGCAAAATCACACCTAGTTTTTGTATACAGTCTAATACCAAACTAAACGGCCCGGCATGTAATTTTGTATTTTCTATCAAGTATTGTTGTAAGATGTTAGTTTAAAGGCTGATAAAGATGATAACAGATGTTTTAATATAAACAAAACATCTGTTAAAACTCACTTAGACATCACCACTACAAACGTCTTCACTGTCTACTACCAAAACATGTCCACGTAAAGGGAACAAACTCGACAAATAGGCTACTATATAGTAAACTAAACAGTCGCCCCAATTTTTCCCATACATTGCGGTTTTACAAGCAATGATACAACTTTTTTTTTTGTCTTATCTTTAGCATCTCTTGCTTGTGTTATAGTCAAAGAGGGAGACACGTTGACGTTGTCGTATTTGTTTCACATATGGGACAATGAACAATTTATCTGGCAAAAAGACAATGAATCTTACTGTACGTGCTCAGTTCATGACTGCATTTTTGACCCTCTAATTACATGGGTTACCGCTGATATTTATAGCAATGATAAAGGTATGACAACAATTTTGGAAGTACCTGATGTTACAAGGCATCCGCCGAGAAACTCGCAGGGTATTTGGAGAGTTTTTATACACAACCAAATACTTTATTCTTGTGACGTTAAAATATACGGTAAGTAAGATCAAATCGTAGTTTAAAAAGTGTGATTTGCTGATAAATTGCATAATAGATAAATATATGTAATAATTTTTCTTTTTAAATCTTTGACGTTGTTATATTTTAATTTATGTTTTATTTAAATGAATTGATTTATTCATTGCATATTGTAACTGGATATCCTGAAACAATTGCAGCTGCAATTACTGAGACTGAGTATCGATTTGAAGCAGCTCAATCAAAAACTCTTGTTACATTTGGCGCTGTGATGTTTCCTGAAGGGATGTGTTCATTGAAAAATCCAAACGTGTGTATAATTTCTTTTTTTTTACTCTTCAGCACATATTTTATGCTAAAATATAGTAAATAAATAAAAAAATATATTTACCATTACTTACAATTATGTTACAAGACTTGGTGGTATGTTTGTCTGTTTCTGAGACGTCGGTATATGTAGGGTTTTGTTGACGTTTGGTTTAATTTGAATTCCAATTTAGTCGCAAGCCCAAAAGTGACGTCTAGTTAACATTACTTTCAAAAATTTCTAAAATTTTTTTTGGCTGTTTTATATAAGTTATATTTATATATATATATATATATATATATATATATATATATATATATATATATATATATATATATATATATATATATATATATATATATATATATATATATATATATATATATATATATATATATATTCTTTCTCAATATTCGTTCTTAATTATTAGTGTTGATCGAGATTTATCTGCCAGTGGGTTTGAACTCGAGACTGTTCGAATGTATCAACCATGAGCTTTTTGCCGACTCGACCACGCCTCCAACACAATTAAGCGTTACGTGTCAACTGGTTAAGCGCCATTGGTGCCATTGACTCCGATTTCAGCCTGCTTTTCTTTTTGGATTTGCTTCCATAGCCTTTGTCCAACCAAGAACAAATTACAAAGCAGCAGTTGTTTAATTTTGGAGTTGTCTCTCCTAGAAGAGTGGCTGTCTCCAGCTAACGAGCCTCATCTGCCCGAGGGTTCGAACTCGAGACTTTTCGGTTTAGCTTTACCGACTCGACCACGCCGACCCCTACTACAATCTAACATTTATCATTTCGTGCTTTAGGTGCAGCCAGCCTTCAACAACAGAGCAATAATCATCAACTCTATCACATATTACAAATTCCAATGTAGTTTTTATCTAGCTAAAAACGATACGACCTTTGACATGGAAGTTTATCCTAATTTATTCAATAATGCCACTGATAAAAACTACGGCATTCATACTAAACTTATCCTTCCTGTTGGTAAGAGTTTTTGGATTATTTCATTTTAAAAAGAAAAAAAAAAACCTTTTTATGTTTGCGGCTTTTGGATTTTCTAAAAATCAATGTTTACGTCTGAGCATATATTTGAAATTACTATTCTCTGATAAGACTAATGTTTTAGCATTGCACAGTTGTTTCTGAGATTGCATTTGCTTAACGGAATTGACATCAAGAGTATGTCTAATTTAATTTAATAAGTAGATCTAATGATTGAACATTGTCGTAACATAATATATTACCAAAGCATTTTTTTTTTAAAAAGCTGAATAATGTATTAAAATTAAGATTCCTATTTCCAATAAAACTCGTTGAGAGTATTACATAGCATTTGGAATCACTAAATTATTAACGTAAAACAAAGTTGTAAAAAAAGTATTATAAAAATTGCTTTCCAGAAACAAAAAACAAAAAGCAAGAGGAATTTTATTACCATACTACAATAATTGTTTCTGTGATCCTAGCAGTAACAGGGACTGTCTTGGCAGTGATTGTTTTCCAATATGGTAGGCTATATATATATATATATATATATATATATATATATATATATATATATATATATATATATATAAAATTTATGAACGGTTAAGAAATGTATTCATGTATGCAATACGCCCAGTATATATGCATGTATGTATGTATTTCAGTACGGTTGAGATGCAAGTCAGGAAGTTACAAAGTTAGGTAATTTATACGTACTCTTTGCTTTTTGTTTTTGGGGAATCAAATGTTTGCTGATTATGTTATTATTGTTAATCAGTGCTTTATTTTTTTTAAAAGAATTGATTCCTATAATTTAAAAAAATAGTTCTAAAATATTAGCGATTACAAAATAGTTTACTGAAATTGTGGCAGTGATTAAATCATAGAAGCAAGTAAACAAAAGAGTTAACAAATTGTGAAAATTACGTGTTTTTTTTTTTAATTGAGAAAAAATAACACTGTTGAAATTGTGAAGTTCAATATCATCTTAGAAGTTGACATACTTTTTTATTTGACACCGATTACACAGTAATGCAATCTCTCTATTTTCAGATAAGAGATTTTTTTTTCCATCAGAGATCTTTACGTTTTGAAACTAATCCTGATTATCAAAGTCACAATGGAAAAGGAGTGAGAGCCACGAGCAAACATTTTAAATATATTTAAGTCAAAACATTGTATATATGTCTAATACCCAATAGTGAATTCGACATGAAAATGAGTTATTTAATATCTGTATCCTTAAACTTGACTTGAGTTGGAATTACAGCTTATGATTTGTGCGTAAATTTTAAAAACGACCTAATCTTTTTCAGGTTATCTGATCATACTATTTTACTAGGTATGTTCTGGTAGCTATATTTTTAAAATGTGGAGGAAATATGCGCCTTTACATAATATACTAATTATTATACGTTTATTACAATTATTTTATTGAAGAATAAATATAATTTATTATTTTCAATAAAGTTTAAATTGTTTTGCTTTTTTGAACGCCTTGAAACTAGATTGTGTTCCTAAAACTTCAATTAAAAACATAATATTTTTAGATCTAGTTGATAATCTCTACTAATGATTTTTACTTTTAAAATGTTAAACATGATATTTCTAAAATATACAGCTTTATAATTGCAGTCTCGAGCATTCAACTTGCATCAAATACATTTTTATTTAGAGAAATTTTATAACTCATCCGCTACATACACTTAATTTTTTCTCAACTGTATTATTGTGACTTTATAAACATTTTAAATTATTGTTTTTATTTTTTTTTAATGTTTAATTAATTTGTGGTTTATTTTGTCTAAACCTTCAGTCGAAAACAACAAGCTAAAATGAAATATAAAACAAAAAATAATGTACACAGATTACAAAAATACCTGAAATATGTTAAACAAAATGTTTAATTACCCTCTTTAAAAGAAATGATATTGCATTATTTGTTTAATAGAATATAGCTACACTTTGCCTCGGGAGCCAATTGATGAACCAAGTGTAGTGAAATCGTCCAGTGCCAGTACCACGGCAATAGGTGGAGAGATCACGTTTTGGCCATGCGTTGTGATCCCACTCTCGAACTTTGCGGTTTTAGTCCAAGGGAACGCTGAGCTTTACGTTTGCTACTAACTCAAATTGCTGAAAGGAAACTGAAGTTGATGATTCTATCGCCTAATGGACTCCACTCCTGTTTGATTTAGGCCTACTAAAGTTTCTTTTTCTTTTAGATGGGTAGCTTTGACAAGCTAACGAGCATTATCAGCCAGGGGGTTTGATATTATGATTTTACAAACTAAAATATTTACCTGCGACAAATAGAAAATGGAAAAAAATAATAATAATGATTAAATCAGAGTAAACCAGTGTGCATCGTTCAGAAACCAATTAAAGGCGAGTTTTGAGCTCTATGAAGTGTAAGTTACAGCAAATGATGAGTTGTAAAGCGACATATATAAAGAGAAAAAGTAATGGATTAACATTGAGGACAGTAATAATGGAAAAGCGATGTTTAAATATAACATTTATAAATAATGAATGAAATACTTAAAATCATTAAATGGGACGGAGTGGTCTAGCGGTAGAGTGCTGGACTGGTAACCCGTAAGTCTCGAGTTCGAATTCGGGTTCAAGTCAGTAAACCGTCCTTGAGACCACCTTACTCTGATGGGTACCTAACTCACGTTAGGGAAAATAAAGGCGGCTGGGCATAATGCTGACCACATATCTTCATATGCTGAGGTCACAGAAACAAGTGAACTCTACTTCACTTGCCCCATAGACCGTCATGTTTGAAAGGGAAACATTACTTACTTTTTTAAAATGTTTAAACGAATGCATAACATTTTTTTCTTTGCCTAGGAAAAAAAAAATTTAAAGCTCGACAATACAATAAAAGAAAAGATATGAGTCATAGACGAGAAAAACCCCCACGAAGTAAACTATGCATATTCAAAGAAACAACACCCCATTCGACCTGGTTAAAAAGCATGCACTGTCCTACGATAGATTTGTATTAACATCTGAAGTGATAGAAAGTATTTACTTCCGCGTCACGAAGTAGGTCAAGTCAGCATTTATGTCATTATAGGCTATGTTGACTGTGTTTTATATATATATATATATATATATATATATATATATATATATATATATATATATATATATATATATATATATATATATATATATAGGGTAACCCGGGGTAATTCCATACACTACTTTTCTAAAAAATTTGTAAAAAATCGAAAATTAACACTACAACAATATAATATTGAGGGTATAACTAGACATGCATTACTTTTATGATGACAAACAAATATAGAGATAATTCACAAAATAAAATACAATTTTTAAATATTTCACTTTTATTCCAAAAACATGGCAAGTGGGGCAATTCCACACACATTATGAAAATTTTAAAATTCATGTATTTAAAAATGTGTAAAAAACATTTTTCCCCTTGGAAACAATTTTGCATGGGGGCAACCACTCTTTATCACAGGATGAAGAGAAAGCCTCAATTTCTTCCTCCTGAATTCTGCTCTCATCTGTCATATGCCGAAGTTATTCCTTTATAATTGTGGACCATTCTGAAATAAATACAAAATTAAATGTTAGAAAGTCTAATTAATAATGTGTGTATGGGGATGTTTAGCTCTAAATATTGCATACATTATAATAAATAATATAGGTACAGTAAAAATAATAACAGATTAAGAAATAAAAGAAGTCTGTGGCAATTTTACTTAACTTTAATAGCATAGTCTTTTTAAAAATAAATAGTACTAGATCTAGTACTATTTAAGTATTTTTTAAGATTAAATCATGAGTTATGAATTACAGAATTAGCCACAACCAGTTAAAATGGTTTAAAATAATAGCTAAACCCTCTAAAAAGTATAAAAAGCAACATGGGACATTCTAAACATTAGTGTATGGAATTGCCCCACACCATGTGTGTGGAATTGCCCCACACCTACTATTGAAAAAAATATGCTTTCCTGTTCTAAATTAAAGGCTGAATCTAGCATCATTAACTGTTACTATTAACAAAAATGATTAAGCTTTCATAAAATCAATAAATAATTGACAACAATTAAAAATAAGACAAAAAAAAATATTTTTTTAAAAAGTGCAGGGGTTGTACTTACCTAAGGATGTTTGAAGATAGATGCAGATAAAATTAAAATTCTTGCTCTTATTGTAGATGAACGCTTCTCTAACAGTATCAGAAAGTACAAGAAATGACCTCTTAGAAACAGGGAATAGTAACTTCTAATTAAACTTTACTCCCATTAAAAATAGAGAGTATCCAGTATATAGTGTGTGGAATTACCCCGTGTGTGGAATTACCCCACCTTACCCTATATATATATATACATATACATATATATATATATATATATATATATATATATATATATATATATATATATATATATATATATATATATGGGTGTGTGTGTGTAATATGCTGTGATGGCTTTCTTCGGTAAATCTCTACAATCATCTATATATATAATTCTCTTCTGGGAGCCGTTAGAAAACAAGCTGCAAGCGCCTCCTTGCAGTCCCCTCTCTTTCTCTCTATCACTATCACTACCACCCCCACCCCACCCCCACATTGTCTGGTGAGCTGTGGTCACGCTGTTTACATTTTACAATCATAGAGACGGGTTTAGTGACGGCTATTAGGAGCAGATAATTTAGTTTGAAACTTAGAGGAGGTAACTAAGAGGAGGCTGCTTTCACGTGGGGGGGGGGGGAGGGGGGGTTGTGTTTTTAAGCAAATATTTTCAGTGGCAGCATTGGTACTGTCGAATTCACAAATTATAAATTACTGAAAAGTAGGAAAAAAAAACAACTAAATAGCGGCGTATGATACGCAGCGGGTCGGCTCGTTTAAAATAACTTGAAGCAAGAACAACAAAGCGATGTGTCGGCAACATGTAGCTGATGTAAGCAAAACGTGGAGCTCTCTAACCGTGTTTTGTAACTTAACTTATCCTACTGTGTGCGAAAACCAACACAAGTCGAATTCGAAATGTATTATAGTTTATTTACGTGTACACGGTCAATCTTTTCCTCCTAATCTACTACACACTACTTCTACTATCTCCTAGCAATACTCTCTCTACTCTGGCTGCAATTTTTTAACTCAACTATTCTTATCCTACTACTAACTCTTGACTTCTCCCTACAAACTCCAATAAGCTACTGCTTACGCTATCTATCTCCCAACTCCCAACTGACAATTAAGTGGTCAGCTGACCCTCTTACGTGACCGACCAGTTAGTTCCACTGTAATTCTATTGGTTTTGCCTGACCATGTATTGCATGGAGTCTGGTAACAAAGAAACCACACGATTATTGTCGCCCTAGATGAAAGTGCATACGCTGAGCAATACGTTTGGGATGCAAATTTCTGGACTCATACCGTCCAGTTTTTACCTTGGGGATTTGGTAATGTTAACTGTTATTTTGAATTTTACAAGACTCACTTCCGACCACGACATCCACTGTCAAGTGAGCAAGTAGTAAACAGGGAAGAAAAAAAACATCAACTTTGAGTTGACTAAATTGTCTTTAATTACTTTTCACTCCGATAAGTGGTTCTTTCATATTTCATAATTAAGAGCAGAAAAATAAGGAAGGGCGTTAAAATAAAATTATAATTGTCGGAAATGATGCAATAGTAATTTGGGGCAAGTGGAGCAAAGGCGTAGCGGGGGTGGGGGGGGGGGTGCGGACAGCACCGGGTGACACCATTTAGAGGGGTGACACCAAGGCTAAAAATTGCAAAATGTGCAGAAGAAAAATGCTTTTTGCGAGTACAATAAATGATTAAAGTAAAATGGTCTGTTAAGTACAAATCGACAATTTTTACAAGTGGGTGGGGGCTGACACCATGAGGAAAACGTCCTAACTATAGAGAAAACATTGTTACATTCTACTATATAGATCCAACAGACTATAGATAAACATCATTACTATTAAGTCAGCAGTGGTTATAGCTTATACATACTCATGTACGCGTATGCGTACATTTAAATTAAAAGCCTATAAGGGCCGACGCACACACACACACACACACACACACACACAAAACAAAATTCATGCACCATTTGACGTGTTTACAATAAAATTCGGTTTCAGTTCCATGGGACAAAAAATGTTTCTATCGAGGTCACATAATCACAATAGTCTAAATACATTTTCCCCTTGAGACAAACTTTACATGTAGGCCTAGTACAAGTTATGCATATCCGGGTTTTGTAAATGTTTTAAAAAAGCCATGTTTGTTATTTATGTATGAATACATTAGCAATATTCTAATTTTAAACACAGATGAAAACATAAATAC